TATCTACCCAATACATACATACATGCTTTCGACACAGCCTAGTAGGGATCTTGGGTATATGCACAAAACGAGTATAAAATCATATGGAGCAGATCTTGAGGTCATACGTAAACACTGGCTGTATGTACATATTGTACAAATTGGACGCTTGTGTAAATGTAAACATATATCTACTATAGCACCGGTCTGGTGTTAAGAAACTCGAAACGCACCATCTGCTCAAAGAAGTTGCACGTGGGCCATCTAAAGCCATCAAGATCATCGTGGCCATAATATTATGCAGCCAAGCGTTGGTCATCCCCACGAACCCGCGAATGGGAGCCGAGATTAAAGCCAGCATTAAAGCCAGCGAACCCTTCCAGAAGCTAAAGTGGGATTGATAGAGCCATAGTTACAAGGATTTGCGGCAGTTTCAGCTACTTACTTACATGATAAGCACCCAGTTACTGCCATATGGGGTAGGTGTTTGAAATTTAATAAAGAAGGTAAACGGCTCGATATCAAGTATATCTCAATAAAAGATTCTCCAATAAAGATTTCCTTTCGTTAGGCGTAAACGCCATACCTTTTTTGCTTTAATAACATAATAAATGCTTCACATGATCTTATCGTACATAGTACTATTATTTTTGAAAGAATTTCTTATTTAAGACCTGTTAAGCGCCCATAAACCATCATTTACCTGAAAAGATTACCCTATCTACGAAATAGTTAATGATTTTAACATGGAGGGTTTTAAACCCAAGTACCAGAATCTACTGCGCCTAATATGAGCCACGTGGTTTAACTTGTCCAGCCTATCTTTTCAGCTCGATGGAGACTTAAAAATAAAGGTCGAAGGATTCCTTCCAAATTGATACGCGAGGTACTAAAGTAACACATACACTTAGATTTAGACACGAGGTCGTGCCGTTATAAAATGATGTGCTAGATGTCGCCATACATACGAGCATTAACACCCACGATCATCATTTCCAGTGGATACTGAAGAAGGCAAGGAGCTGACAAGACCAGGGCAAACTCTCGACCAATAAAGGCCGACCCAGTACAACGTCTCGGGTCACAATTAAGTTAGATGAATCCACACTGTTGGAAACAATTGCACAAGGCAATCATAACAAGGGGTACAAGTTTATAAATAAGTAACATTTAATTCATCACGCGAAGAAATTTGTATAAGTACATAGTGCAGATATTTGATAATGATGTAACTATCGATTTCTATAATATTGACTAGCGATATGTAATTACCTTACGTAGTGTAAATGACACCGTCTTTTGGGTGCTACTTTTGAACTAAAACGATCCGTGGGATGGGAGCGGCGCGGCTCGAACCGTTCCATTGCGAAAGCACATGAATCATAGTTACATGCATATCACAAAGATTACATAGTACAATAAAACAGGAATATCCCGTCTGGCATTAAAAAGTCATCTCCTTTTTTTTTCTTCTCAATATCGATGAATAGCATGATACGACCCGTGAGAGCGATTTGAATATCATTAACCTAGCAGTAAATGAAAATACTTTTACCTTTAACACAACCCATGGCTCCCTATCTCACAAGATCATCAAGGCAGCTTAACAAGACCCCACAGTCGTGCCTCATACTTACATTAGAAACTTCGTACTGGCTACCCATAAACATAAACCATTGGTACAGATGTTACCATAGCATGGTTTCTCCGCCACGTCGAAGTGGGTTAACTTACCTATTAAGTCGATAACTAGTAACTACATACCGATACGCGTTTTTAAGAGGTTGTTAGCTACGGGAAGCACACGGAGCTGATAGTACATAAAAACATGTTGCCGATAAAGGTTGGTGGGGATTAAGCCATTCAATCTTGAAATGTTTTCTAACGGATGGCAGGACGAGAATGTTGGGAAAGGGAGGACGAGATAATTATCCGAGATAAGATCTTTTAACATGCTAGGTTTCTAACCTAGAAGCAATATTAATGAGCTTCTCGAAGAAGTTAAATTAGTGGCTCGACGCTACTTCTGTAGCGAACTTCCAGGTCGTCCCGAATTATTCGAGAAATCCCACTGAAAATATACATGGGAAGCACGGTACGCTTGCTGGCCAATGGCCTACCCTGGAGAGAATACCCAACAAACATGTGATTCTCGGGTGGACAATATACTTTCAAGAAATCAGTCTAGCGGCGGAGGTTTGTGTTCCTATGCCAGGGGGACTAATATCTCGTCGATCCTGCCTGCCCAACCCCCTAAGGATCAAGCTGAAAGGAAACGGAACAGTAAGGCGAAACTCCATTGGTGAGAGCAAGATTGATGTGTGCTAACTATTATATTATAGTTACCTTAGGTAGGTTTCTGGTTCATGCTAAATGGCTACTGGGTGGGTGTTATTATCATGATTTATTTCATCTTTTTATCATGGCTTATTCATCTCGCCTTTAGAAATATGCCTCAAGCGCGCTGCTCACTTGGATTGGAAAATGGCATACCTATCCCTCAAATGCGATAGAGTGGCCCGCAGTTATCGTAGGAATACCTCGAGTATATTCAAAATGAGATCTCAGGTAAACTTGCAGCTCGGGTCAATCGAAGACTCTTAAGATCTATGGAGTGACAATAGGGGCTGAAACACTTATTATAGAACAATATTATACCACCCAAGATATCAGAGGACGCCGGTGACGGACAAACCTTGGTTGGTTACCAAAGTACAATAACCCATGCGCACAACTGGGAGTTACCTCATTAAAAAAGCCTCGAGGATCCATACATAGGTGCCGGCTTCGGATACCTCTCCGCCATTTGGCATTTTGCTTGACAAACCGTGCCATGTCTCTTGTCTTAGGCTAACTGCTAGCTACTTCTTCAGACTGCCGTACCACCTTTGCTTTCAAAGGCTTAGAATATCTAATCTGCCCTGCTAAAGGGGACTTCATATTAAGTTGTAGGTAATTAAATAAAGGCCAAGGATGGACCCGAACATCTTTCTCTTCCATCTGCATCACGTTGAACAAAAGAGATCGTGATGATGGGCCTTAGTGTTAGCCGTAGGTGGTCCTATTGTTAGTTTCGGTTACAATATAGATCTGGATTTCCTGGGTTATTTACCAATATGTGTGACTCACTAGAATAGTATCTATTTCATTTTTGTCGACGATTTTAGATGGCAGCCCTTACTAAGGGGCAACATGAGTTATCGTCGTATGTCGATGTATTCGGTAAGCCCTGCATAAATATATTGTTCTTCGTAGGTAGCGCATAAAATATATGCACGCCCATTTATGCACAGATCACTTGGAAACGAAACCCAGCCACCTTGAGCCACAATCGTAATATGGGTAATTTTCACAGCAAGTCCACGACGAAGCCACTTACAATTTTATATACTTCCTACACTCTACATCTTATTGCCTTCTAACAACTCAGCTTTATCAGCGGTATTCAAAAGGTGCTGATAATATACCAAAAATATACTTATAGTCTTCGCGCGTAAAAAACACGTGAGAATTATATGCTTGGGTATATACGGTATATACACATTCAACTACATATTTATATCTCGCAAGTGGGATGGCCACGATATCAGAACGCTATGATGCGTTGCTTCGTTGGGTAGAGGGGGATGGAGGACATCTTAATCCATCTATTGAAATATATCACGACGAGGTCACCAAGGGGTCTTTCCGCGTAAAAGACTCATGCTCGATTGGAGTGGATGATGTCATAGTTACTCTCCCGCTTTCTAAGTCTCTCTCCTATCTCGATGCTATTCGTGGTCACCCGGCTTTCGTTTCTCTATTCGACTCGGATGACCTGGGTGACGAGAGTAAAGTCTATTTCCCAGAAGAATTCTTGAAAGAAACGCCACCCCATGTTGCCGGCCGTTTTTTCCTCATGCAGCAATACCTTCTAGGACCCGAGTCCAAGTGGTGGCCGTATATCCGGACCTTGCCTCAACTCGAACACATGGGTAACATCCTCCCGGTAATGTGGCCCTCCGATGATGTCGAGTTTCTCAATGGGACCAATGCTTCTGCGGCTATTCAGGATATTAAGTCAAACCTCAAAAAAGAGCACAAGAATGCCCTGAAGTTACTCCCGCAGAACTACCATCTAGACTATACTCGACCGTTGTATTACTGGGCCTATAGTATCTTTACTAGCCGTAGTTTCCGACCGTCACTTATTTTTCCTGCCGAAGCTTCGCTGGGGTTGCCATGCGAGTTAGATGACTTCTCGGTGTTGCTTCCGCTATACGACATCGGAAACCATTCGCCACTAGCAAAGATTTCTTGGACCACCGATGAGCAGACTAAAATGTGCATGCTTAAGTCAAGGCAGACTTATTCAGCCGGTGAACAAGTGTACAACAACTACGGTATGAAAACAAATGCCGAGCTACTTTTGGGGTATGGCTTTATACTCCCAGAAAATGATGATCTCCATAACGATTATGTCCATATCAAGACCAGGGCAGACCCAGAGGCTGGAGATTTAGCGGCTTCGCATGTTGTATCATTGAGACCTATGGCTCATCGTAGTTCATTCGTCGGGCGGTCAAAGCTCTTGAGCGCAGATTCCCTGAGCTGCCTCCCTTGTTTTTCACACATTCAAGATACCCTCGTTGCTGCTCTATACGAAAGCATTACGAAAGGGGGAGATGAAACGAACGACGCTAGCTTGAATAAGATACTACGGGGCGACATTCAGAGTGAAGTGTTCAGAAAGATTGTCGATACCTTAGGAGCAAAATTGAGTATGGATCTGGAGGAGATAGAAGTGAACGAACCTGAGTACGAGACTATCAATAGTAACCAGCAACTTGCTATGCTTTATCGCGAGCAATGTCAGAAGGTACTGGAGAACGCTCTCCGCAGCCTCTTAACGGCGGACGGTTGAGCTATCGTATACATACACGTTGGCATACAGGGTTTATTGCCAATACGGTTGCTTAATCGATCAATTCATTCTCAAACTCCGAACTAGGGGTATCAAAATGCAATCTACCGCCGACGCCTAATCATACCGGGGCACACTACCTTATTTTCCAGACCCAAGCCATTCTTGGCAACTAGATGACGTACTCGTTCTGCCATAACATACTCTTCTGGCGCTCCTTTCCTAGTAGGTGTCAAGTTAATGACTGCGCCTGCTCCCAGCGTTCGGTTTCCACCCTCTAAATACTCTCCCTGTTTCGTCGGGTAGAAAAGACATGTTCTCATTGAGAAGATTCAAGCATGCCTTGGAAGCTGGTGTATATGAATCAGCAGCATATTCAAGAACTACATTATACGTATCTTGGTTGGAGGAGAGCACTTACGCAATAGCAAGCTGACGTCCCCCGAGCTAAGTGCTGCGCTCATCCTAGCCGAATTATAGCAGCCGTAAATTTGCTGAAGCGCAAGCATCCGTTCCCATAGTCTTTCAGGGTCTCCTTCTGTGCCCTCCTCTAGGGCCTTGAGGGATTCTCGTCTCCTACTCCTGGATGCGTCCGTGCTGTCCGACGAACACTCGGAACACGGCGACGGGGACCTCGACTCTTGGAACTTGTTGATCGAGTCGATGATTTCGGATTCATTAATTGCTTTAGGACTGCTACGCGTAAGGGGGCATGGTGTGATAGCATCGATGTCATCAATAATGGCCGGTTGGCCCAACTCTCTCGAAGCTTGGGGCATATCGTGTATAACTTGTTGGAATCTACCAGCCCAAAAGTGTTGCACAACGCTTGTATCTCGTCTAACCTTGCTCGGTCATGGATGGAAAGACCACGGCGTTTTCTAGCCTCTGAACTGATAGGACGTCGTTTAGATTAGCGAAAGTAAGAGAATAATCCCGCTAGTTCGTATTTATAAAAATTCGGATTGTATTTATTGTAAGAATAAGATTATGGTAACATTCACGCATCTAAACTTGTAGGCGGATTCTCACCGGCAGAGTGTGGAGCTACAGACTCACATATATAGGTGCCTATATATATTAGCCAAGGTAGGTAGCATTGAGCCATCTGAGAAAGCCGAACCGGGTTGGTACACATGCTTCACCCTCGAAAGTGCTTTTGCATGGGAGAAGGTGATGTGATGATGAAACCTGCATCCCCTCCAATCACAACCATCCGGGCCACAGTCGTCAACCCCTGCTGTTGTTGCGTTAGCGTGCAGCTCTCGTACATACTGCACACACTGCACACACCACCGCTGAGTCAAGAAAGTTTATATGGAGTACCATAGTAGGTAGGTTGAGGAGCCGGATGTCTCCAGAGACCGATGAACGCCTGACCGCAATGCCCTGAACTGGGTCGATGGCGACATGCGTCAGGCTACCGGATCTGGAGGACGTACAGCATGACTTGGGGATGATCACATAGGGGTCATCATATATTCATCCGCACAGCGTTCGTTCATATAGTCTCTTACCGGTGGGCTTTGATATTGAGTGTCGGCTGCGTAGGTGTGCAGGTAAGGTATGTAGGCATATACGGCAATCCACCCCGCGTCATACGACACACGCAATTGGACGCAAGCTTTTCTTTCTTCTTGTCTTAATCTGAGTTCTGAGTATCTGGGTCTTAACGATGTTCATATGCGTCTTGTCCCGCAAGATCTACCTTGGGGCTAAGACCTTAACTAGAGGAAGGGTAGCCTGCATCATCGCAGATCTCTAACTACCGGCTGATGCATTTCCGTCCGTTATGCCCCCCCCCCCATTATCGAACCCTGTACCCCGTATAGATTAGCTATCCCGGTATCGGCTGCGATACCATTATACATATGAGATGATCGAGAGCCTCGTGACCCGGCGAAGCTATACCTTTACCAATCTAGCTCTTAAGCAAAGGTAATCTTTTGTCCCTAACGCTTCAAAAACTATGATATACGCAAGTAGTTATATTAGAAAATCATAGCACATAGGTTAAGAAGTATTTCTATTAAAAAAATAACGAAAATCTTTTTTTTTTGTTTTTCTTTTTGCATGGAGGCTCGTAGCACGAACCTCAGCAAACGTCTGATTAGACTAATACTCAGACTCCGTTCAAGATTATCGACCACGCGGCTGGAGGGAAACGAGCGGGATTGATTAAGGTTCAGACGATCACTTCCTCCTCTAGAATGATCGTAAATGGTCTTACTACTGGGATACAATAGCGTGGCGCTACCATCGCGTATTGTTGCAGCAAGGTTATCTGGGTAGGCCAACGGCACCGCTGTGCTGGTAGAATGCATCATGTCAATCACGTATCCGTCGTTAGTATCATTAGTGCGGGGGGTTACACGCCCGAGGACAGGGATTCAGTTCGGTGATCGTACGTACCTAAGGCGACTTTCTCTCGATACTCCATTATCATCACCATCAATGTCCATATCTCTACCTCATAGCATAGTCTTACACGTACGATATCAGACGAGAGAGTTATGGAACTTCTGGAACGATTTATAATTTATATCGCCCAGTAGTTTGTAACAATATCTCCGGAGTATTGCGAGACCCGTAGATTAGATCACGATCATCTGGAGAAGTTGACGGCTTGCCCGCTTACCGCCATTTTCCCACTCACCCCGACCGCATTAGGTACCTACCTATTACATATTCTCTCTTATCAATCGGTAGCGAGAGGGGATCGCATCACGAGCTATTGATTTGACTCCTCCGGCCCAGTCTCTAATAAATGACGGGAAGGATTATGCCCTAGAAAGTTGATACTTGCGCTTCTGGTCCTCAACGATACTTAATTACCTCACATCTTTTCATATTCATCTTCATATGGGGATAATAATATACAAGAGATTTCCATGGGGATAGTAGGCAGAAATTAATAAAAATATACAGGTCTGGAGTGCCCAACCCCGCCACCGACACTGAAGACTTAAATCCGCATTTCAATCCTATATTAGGTAGAAAGCTCGTTCAAAGTCTTTATACGGATATCAAAATACGTATTGTCGGATAACCCATCGTAGATTAGTCCCTCTGCTGTGTATACCTCATATGGAATACTTAGGTTGCCCTGGTCAATTAGGCCTCACAGGGAAAGACAAGCCCCGGGGGTTGAGCTGGCTTGCATATGATCGACATCTGGAGAGACCTTGCCCCGGACTTTAGCGAACCAACAACGATTATCAAGGTCTAGGTGGCGGCTATACAGCTTACTACTACCTACACCATGTTCTGTTGATGAAGGATGGGTGATCTGCGACTCGCATTGTAAGCTCGATTTGCACATGGTGGCGTGTTTAGACGAATACCAAGAATTTAGATGCCGTCTTTGCCAAGTCGGACCTCAACCACCATATGATGATCGCCGTAACACCGGAGCGGAGGTGGAAGCCACTTTATCTGCCGCCGAGCCTTTCTCTCCGAGCGGGTGTTAATCATATATGCTATAACTGTAGCTCGAACAAGTTCTTCGTTTGCCCCTTTTCTAAATATTGGGGGATAACTAACTATGCTGTACGTCGTAATTTGGCCAACAACTTGGATTGCTATCAAACACCTTTAGCACCGCATTCTCCAGGCCACCAGTGCCAATACCTCTGCTCGAACGACAAAACTGGTAATAGCATTGCCACCGAAACACTAATACCAAACCCGGAGACTTTTTGAAGAGGGGTATAAGGCATCGCTTATATACGATAGCGAATATACGTGTCATATAACTTTCTTATGCAAACAGCAATATGCCTTTACTCCTCAGACAGTGTTAACCATACCACCCCGTCGCATTTCTGGTGAATGTCGATTTTCAAGATTGTGGGATACGCCAAGTGATGAATATATGACGCGTTCAGCCACCACTAGGCAAGTTATAATTGGTTTACTGCGTCCTTTCATTTGCTATGAAATTCTTGCCTCAACCGAATTCTTCGATGATGTAGTTGTGCGCTCACAAAACTACGCCACTAGTTCGGGCCATCATCACCGTGATACTTGACCCTAGACCAAGACTTGCAGGATGCAATTTGTGTGTGCCTTGTTTGCGTATATCCAGGAAGTTCTAGCTTAGGTATCTTGCTGTAATTCATTCATTCATTTCCCTTCGAATTTTCCTGTGTGCGGCATTAATCAGATTCCTGGCCGTAAACACTGAGTATGTCTGCCAGGTAGAATTTCCTACTATTTAACTTGGTGGTAGCTTCGACGTTGCTGCGCTGAAGCTTCAAGTGAGCGATTAAGTTAATATAGAAGCTCCAGGGACCATGATGGTACGCCCGAGACAGATGTTGTCCCTGTTCGGGCTCTTGCTCAGCGGCAGTTTCTTGTTGATATTCTTCTTCTACGCAAATTCTGGACGTGGGTTTATGAAACCTATCGATGTCTACCTAGAAAAGCCGACGGAAGCTGAACCTACTCCACGATATAAACCAGCTCCCTCCTACACGCCGCCTCTCATACAAGATCCATTTCCAGCATTAGCGACTTCGAATCCACCCCCTATCCCGACATACAATATTGCCGAGAAGGATGTATGGGTTAAGTACGGACTGGAAATCGCACCGCCATTGGTGATCGGGTTCACTCGATCTTGGCCCATGTTGCTCCAAACTGTCGTTTCTTATATTACAGCGGGCTGGCCGGCAGAGCAGATCTATGTGGTCGAGAATACCGGCATGCAACAGGCCAACGCGCGTGGCCAACTTGGTCTCCAGCACCCGTGGTATCTTAACCACGCATCTTTAAAACGCCTCGGTGTAAATATCGTCCAGACGCCGGTATTGTTGAGCTTCGCGCAGCTGCAGAACTTCTACCTCTCGCTATCGTATACCAACAACTGGCCGTATTATTTCTGGAGCCATATGGACGTCCTCGCACTAGGGCACGAGAACGGGTTCGAGGGCCTCACGCCGCGTGCGGGTGAGCTGGGCTACAAGAGCCTATATACCCTGTGTCTCGAGGAGCTTAATCGCACACTGGAGACAGATGATAGGTGGGGGTTACGATTTTTTGCGTACGACCACCTCACACTGCAGAATCCGAGGGCGATCGAAGATATTAGCGGCTGGGATACTTTAATTCCGTACTATATGACGGATTGTGACACTTACACCCGTCTGCACATGAGAAACTGGACACAAAAAGACGCCAATTGTGGGGTTATAACTGATACATCCGTCACGCTCGACAACCTCCTCGCTCTATACCGAGATCCGAGTATAACCCCCAGCTTCCGCGACCCAAACCCCCCGCCGCCCGTAGAAGAAGACAACGAGCAGAAAAGAGACACACAAATTGTCCCCCGGGAGCCTGCCGACCCTTTGGAATACTGGAAGGTATTGCTAGGTGTTGCTGATCGCATGTTCCACTACAAGCACAGCGGTCGTGGACGCAATACATGGCAGTCGGGTCAGCATGGCGGCCAGGGCGAACCTTTCTACTACGACTCCACGGGATTCACAGAGGCTCTGGATGTGTTGACAGAGGCGGGCAAGGATGTATTTCGCCGGAAATGGGGACACCTGAACTGCGACCTAATAGGGGGAGGTGGACTGAAGTTTGAGGACCAATGGCAGGTCTTACAGGATTGGTAAAATCAAAATAAAAGCCACCTATTCTATCCCCGAGTGGTTAATAGTATATTTGATAGGGATATATAGTCAGAAGTTTTGTTGTCTTTTATCCCCGTCTCCAATAAATTCGGTGACCAAGGTCCTTAGCGTCTGGGTAGAGACCTAAATAATCCATAATGCTTCCTCCAGGACAGTAATATGGAAACAACATACCACTTCGGGGCTGTTTATTCCTTAGTTTTCACCGCCAGTAAATTGCCCCCTTTTACCTAGTCCTTAATAGAGGGACCCTACATTTACACCACTTCTTGAATATAGCAGTCTTCACAATTTGAGGTATCAGTGATGATTATTAATGGTGTGGACCATAAGACGATAGAGTACACTTTGGGGATTGTTGAAAGGGGGTAGACCGGAACTCATACAAGATACTTATCTTTTGCTGAGCAGTCGCTTAGTCGTTGGAAAATTAAACCTTTGATGTCAGAGAACTGATCTATATAATACTTCAAGTCTTCGGGCGTTATTTGTGTCGTAGGGTTAAGGAAAGACAAGACAATCACCATCTTGTCAGACTTGGCTTATCTCGAGACATCAACGTCTTCCGGGCTAGCACGACGGCCTTTAATTGGTCCGTAGTATATGATCGCCTATACCCGGTGTCCCGCTCCGGTGTCCCACTGGCGGTAAGCCAGATAATAGCGACGAACCGCAATGCAAACTAAGTATCGTCACCGTTTACTCTACATCATCTGCCCGTGGTTACTAACAATACGTTACCAACAACCGTAATTATTTCCGGGAGGGATGTCATATAGAGAAAGCAAAGCAATAATTACCGTTTCCAAAAATTGTATAAAACATGGCGACTTGTAACTATTATGAGAAACTATAACTATAGAAAATCCGCGTCTGTGTTGTTTACATAAGTAATACGTAGATGATCAGCTATACAGACAGCTCTAGTTCTTCTAACCTAAGGTTCGTGCATATGATCAGCAATGATCGTTTCTACTTCGGTGTTGTATTACAAATGTGCGATGTTACATCTTCTCGAAAGAATGACTGCTCGAGTGATGCTCTGGTGAAGTGTTATTTATATTGGGAATATTATATCATAGATGAAGACAGATCGTAGAACACCCCATAAAGATAACAGCAGCTCTCATGTTGTCTAACCAATTGAATTTAGACTGGGCATATCATTGCTCTTCGAATATACCTCAACGCTATAACGGCCTCGGCCGATAAGCTAAACTCTTGGGAGCATATGCAGTGTACCCCATCTCAGGCAGTCGAGCAGGTCCAGATGTTGCTCAAACAAACCACCGGCAATAATTATGCTCGCGCCTCTCGGCACCGGAGACGCCTCAGGTTACCCCGTATCCTCGTCGTATCAATTTCGTAGTCTTGGCAATGCAGAAGAAAAAAAAGCAGGGTGATGATAAACGCCTAGCCAATGCAGAAATTGCCAATGCTCCGCCGGGCAATAGAATGAACGCGGAATGGCCTGTGTCTAATACTGGTCTATATCCCATTGTATCTTCGTGAAGTTGTAATAGTTGAAGTTCAAGGCACGCTGATGTAGTCGTATATCTAATGCGATTATGGATAATTTGATTCGGGTTGGAATATGGATCGGTCGAATCGGCACAAATTGTAACGCGCGCATTAAATCTGTTAATTATACACCTGCCCATGTAGTCATGCAAATGTTGTGTTGGGTATCATGGAAAAGGAATGAGAACCGCTCGGGACTCCACGTCCCGAATTTCGTTCGTCGCTTCGTTCATCGGTACTTTCTTTAGTGTTTATTTTGCTCGTGACTACCGGATGTAGTCGTCGAGCTTGGATGATGACGGTGGTGATTGTGATGGTTATGGTGATGCGTATGTGAATTGTGTTGTCGGACCTGAGTGGCTAGCATAAGTATGTCTTATTCTGCCGCTGATCTTAGGGTGGAACTCACTCTTTGACGACCCCGTCGTTCCTCTTCGGCCGGACTACTGATCGACTTCCTCTCTTCCTCATACCAAGCACTCAGGCTTTTACCGCTAAACATCAAGTCTTCGTCGTCTATTACTATTGGTTCCATCCACCCCTGCTTTTGCAACTCTGCCTCTCGCGTGTTTGTGTCGGGCAGGTAGTAATGTAGAGTTTCATCGCCGTGGTGATGCGATGTCGTTGAAGTAGTAGTAACCATCTTGAGGGGGGATGGGTTATGCGCCTGAGAGTTCGTGGGGGTTTGCGATGATTTATTATGAGAAGACGGGCGCGGCGAACGCGGTTGTTGGTGTGGTGATTTGTGATTACGTTGAGATGTCGTTCTGCTTCGTGGTTTTCCGTTGTCGTCAGATACACACGAATTACGTTGCGACATGAGCGATAGAAGCTTCACACGGGATTGCAAAATGTTTCTCGGGGCGCGTAGTAGATGCGTGATGAGCAGCCGGAATAGAAATATAGAGGGCGTTGGAATTGTATGTATTCGTCGGTATAATGTCGCGTATCGACGTTGTTTATTGTTTATTGTAAGTAAAGAAAGGTTGCGCCAGGCTACCTTTTGTATATCTAACCCCAACGCCGTTCCAAGTGTGGAAAGCCGAGTCTATGGCTATTGGAAGAGAAGAGAGGTGGGTATGGGGACAAGAATAGAATCGGGAGAAAGTAGTAATAATATATAACACGCATCAAGGGGTCCGGAGCTAGCAAGACGAGGTTTCAAGCCCGTAATAATAAGAATTGTTGGGTGGCTGGCTAGGAAAAAAGGAGACGAAACGGTACCACCGAGGCGGGGATTTCCGGAATAGGAAATCCAATACTGTACAAACGGTTAAATATGTCACCATGCGATACGGTAACTAGACGGAATGGTTCCTTGATCTAAACCACCGATGTTTTTGCTGGCTACCTATATTCAGGGAAAGGGACAAGTCTACTGATTGATAATATGAAGGCGCTATAGTTGAAAGAATAGAATGATCTCAATAAAGATAGAGCCATATGCCAATCTTACTGAAAATACATATATAAAGGATTCGGTCTTTGGATATGTACCTAGTAACAGGTATCTATGTGGAATCTGTAGCTTCTTATGTATTCGAGGCACCCAAGAGCCGAGAATTGGTGGCCAGGAACCCGAACGAACCCGAGCGATTTTAAGGAAAAGAAGCTATTCGGTTGTTGTTGGGGGAGAGGGGGGGGGGGTATACTTCAATATGATGTATTTCACCTCCCAGGCCTAGGATTCTTGTGGGGTTCAAGATGTAAGCGACCGAGATGAAGGCAAAATGCTCGGTCCCGCGGAGAAGAGACCCACAGCAACACACGGTTAATACCTCTCAATACATGAATGAATACTCCCGGCCTGAAGACCCGTTCCGAGAAAAACTCTATGAAGGCAATTCCAGGATATTTTAGGTACCTAAGGTTACCTAGGTATATTCTGGCGCAGTACCTACCTGATGCGCTTGATGATGATGATAATGATGGCTTGGCAAATGTAGAATTTCCGGTTGAAAATTTGGAAAGGCAATTAACTGGATGATCGCATGCTGTGAGAGGCATCATCGACATTGGTGGCGGCTCGGTTGTAAGATACTAATCTAGTTGCTTATCGAAGAGGTGAATACTGTGTAAGTCTCGCTAGCCATTTGGCAGAAACCGAATTCTTCACATGTAGATACTTGACCTAAAGTAACGGAGTAACGGAGTAACTACCTCCTTCTAGGGTCGGTTTAAAAAAGAGCGCCGTAGTTGAGATAAGGCATCAAAACATGTAACTAACCTGAATAATACTTTATTATTCTTCAAGGGCTAAGAGACTATATTAAGGCGTTTAAATAAAGAGGGGAAGTTGCTTTGAAGACAGCTATTTTTATTAATGTCAATTGGTTACTGTCTAAGACAGCAACGACAGTAAACTTGTAACTAGGCGTATGGAACCAACATGCCGAGTTTCTATAAATGACGGAAGCACCTGTAGCCTTCTCAGGGTAAAGCCTGGTTTTTGTCGCGTCAGCGGTACCGGGGTAGTTATAGCATGCTTCCTTTCGAGACTTACTCACAATTGATGATGATGATGAGAATGGCCGATCCTGATGGCACCTTGATGCTGGCTCTATATATTCAAGCTCTGTTATGTACCTATTTAGACTCGATTGACAGGGTCCAGGGCTCTATGTAACAACTTCAACCCCCACGAGGGGGTGGATTTCACGGGGTTTAGCAACAATCCAGCCATCTGTGCAAGGTATGTATTCCATCCAGTTACCGTTAGGTAGCAATTCCATAACATTACCGTAGAAACCGTAGAAAACGTAGAAAACTGTACGCACTACACTACCTATGCGGCCTCAACTCGGTCTATCTTACGGACTTGAAAACTTCATCAGCCTGTAGACATGAAGCTTACCTAGCCCAACCGGTCAAGCAGGCTGGCCTGCTTGTCAGCTTCGCTAGCATAGGCCGCGGCCGCAATTCGATTGTGTGCTCCCATTGGGAAAGCCAGCACATAGCGGAACCATATCGAAGCAAATCCCGGTCAAGTCTGGACCGGTCGAGATGAGCTGCAAGTCAATCATCGGCGAGCTGATCGATATGTAGAGACCGGCCCTGTCAATGTGCCTCTTTAAAAGATGTGCATCATATACTATTACCTATATCTGTGTATTCGCAACCGGCAGAAAGGCTGGCGTGATCCGACCTATAGTATATGTAGTACACAGACTTCTACTATCCGCCAATTCCAATCTAGAAAAGTCTCTAGGTTAAGAGGTTGGGTCTTACTCTGAAACCACATCAAGGGCTAGTTAACTAGGTTATATGTTACTATTGTTTGCGTTTGGCACGGTCCAGTGCGCTTTCGGACTGGGGACCCTGTAAGTTTTTATGTCTCGGCCCCGGTCCCTTCATCTTGAAGTTCCTCATCACGTATTAATTAGTACGTTGGAAGGTAGCGCGAACGGGAGAACTATACGATCCAATATATTTTTACCTTGACCGACACTCTTACATGTTCGGCAGCTAAGTGATGCTGATGCTAATTGTCAGCATTTTACAGCATTTTATTATAAAATATCAAGAGCCTCTAGCAGCAATGCCGTACCACGTGTGTAGGTGTGTCTGGTACCTAGGTAGGTATGTAAGAACTTCGCGGGCTGTGCTCCATTTGCAAAACTGCCAAGCAGGTCGGGCTGCTAGTGCAACCCTATCCAATCTAATGATCTTCTCCGGGGTACAGGGGTCAAGTAAGCAGATATGATATGTCTGTCTGTATGTCTAAGGCCGCACCACTCCGCCTCGAACAATAGCCGCTATTGGCTTCGACGAACTCTCACCCTTCGCTTATCGATGTCCTCCTGCCAAATACATAGTAGATCAATTTGATACACACCTCGCTTCACTCGACAAACAAGCTTAACTCCAGTGCTCGTGAACGATACGATTCGAACTTAATCTCCAGAGATCAAGAGCGGGGTGAATTTGGACCCCCAAGAATGCTAATACCTACCCCATCCGTACGTAGTAGAGACCAACTAGCAAGGGTTGCAGTTTGAGGGGTTCCCAGGGCTGACCAAACCCATTAGTGGGCGATCTCTGCACATGCTCGTCTGTAGGTATGGATGGATGGATGGATGGATGGATGGATGGATGTTATACATGGGAATTTGCGATTTGCAAGAGCAAATGTCTGTCCATCGATGTGCAACGCTTCATCCTTATACCGACCAAAATTTCTGACGGCCGTATCAATAACGGTCTAACCGGCAGATATATATAAACCTGCGTTGTTGGCTCGTTTACAAAGTGCCCACGTATGTATAACGCAAATGCTGGGTGATGTGTAAGTGTTGTGTATCCCCCGTGTATCCTATGTATGTGTTCCCATGTAATAAGTGCTGCTGCAAATACCCTATAATGCCTTACTGGGCCAGCTAGGCCTACCTTGTAGTCGTCGGGTTACCATCCCAGCCTGAGGAGAGCAACATAACTATGATCCTGTCTACCTAATTCTTGAATTTCAGTAAAAATTCCGTAGCAGTACAATATTTTACGGTAGGATTCGACGAAAGATTCCGTCAGGTGTCGTGAATACGACCGAGAGATATTTAGCAACCCTATTCCAATTGTTGCTATTACGTAGGGTTCATTCGGCGGGAAGGAGGGTCAACTGATCGGCCGCCAGCTCGGCTTGAGGCTGTCCTAAGACCAGATCCTGTGCCACGGCACCGCTGGGATCTATATCATGTGCTGAGCTGACGGCCTGCTAGATACCGTCACTTTTCCATCATTTGAATACTGCGCAACCAAACCATTTATTCGGCGTTTACAACTAGAATACACTGTAGGACGAAGGAGACACGGACACGCGTGGTTTTCTCGGAACTCTGGAAATTTCTCGACAAAGCTGTAACATATTTTCGCGCATACTACAAACAGGCTTTAGATATATTTCGTCATAGCGGATCCCGGCTGAGCTGCCAAGCCGTGTTGCATCCAGGCGGCATAATGGAAACGGCATGGCGAGTATCTCCATATCCGACTGGAAGCCTCTACATAGTCTGGTTTTATTTAATTATTTATAATTTTTAGTCGCCGTATTACTAGCTTATTCAACTAAGGTTAGAGGTACGGCGACGTAGTTTTAACCCTATCATCGCCTCTACCATCCGGCCTTCATTAACGGCATTGACGGCATTATCGCCCGGGGGGCTTTGTGGGCCTCTCAAGGATTCGTGGACGTTGACAATTTGGGCGAAGAGCTTCAGTTAATGAGTAAGAAATCAACTTTAATCGGAAACGAAGCTATATAGCTAATTATGTTCTACTGTAAGTCATGACTTATAGCATGAACGAATCAGTTCCCCGTAATTTAGTCCTTAAACAAATTGCTAAAGATGCCACATTACTCCAGCGCAATCCAAAATAATATTACTTTATATGTAAGACTAAGCGCGTCAAGAAATATGAATGTTAGGAGTACCTAGTCTTATTTGCCTACTTATAGCTATTATTTACTAATTGGTATTGAAAGAACACGGGTTTCGCTTTATTTCATTTATCTCTTAAAGAAATCACATACTAATTGAGGGTAATAAGTGCTTAATTTAGTGGTGCCCGAGAATCAGGAATAATAAAAGTATTGTCATCTATGTATGTAACAATAACATTATATCTAACGTCAAGACTAATAGCTACCTACTTGACTACTATCAAATTCAAGATATTAACACTATGATATATATTAACACTGTTTTTACGGATATCACATACTAATGCCTCAAGGCGTCATGTACGAGAACAGCAAGAATATACCAATAATTTATACTGAATAGGGAATATAGAATCTAACTCTCTGATTAAACAAAGCTAGCAGTAACGAGGTGGGTAGTAGGATGATGCATTATATGAGCGTCAAGATTTGAAAAGATGACTTGTTCAAAGGGGATTCTCTCCTATCAGGTATAAAGTTGTTGGCTCGTGTTGAGAGAGCTATTGTAATATTCAGAGCTATGAAATGGTGTTTTTAGGTTAGGTATAAACTTATAGGAGTTATACTAATAGAAGGGGAGGAGTAGCAAAATGGATACGTTAGGTGCCTTTAATGGCAATAGATGCCATTAGTTAAGCTTATTGGAAGTATAAACTACATCTACTCTTGCTTAACAGAATAACTA